TATGTGTGCAACTACTTAGAACTATTGGTGCAACTACTTAGAACTATGAGTGCAACTAAGTATTGATGCTCAGTGTAAATTTTTACATTTTACATGCACTTGTAATACATTTTACTTGCACTTCGATATTCAATTATTTACGAAAATGCCACTGCATTTTTTTTAAAAAAATCAGTGTTTCTCATCCATTAGATCTGGACACGTGGACGAACAGAATCCATTCCTATTTCGCGCCTGGGTGAGCCGTTCGCACCCGAGTTCAACTCTCTCTCTCTCTCTGTATATATATATATATATATATATATATATATATATATATATATATATATATATATATATATATATATATATATATATATATATATATATATATATATAGGGTTGCATTCAAATACAAACCCCCTTAAAATACAAACACTCCTTAAAATACAAACTTGAGCTCGTGCACACATTAACATACTTACATGCACACAGGGGCCAATAATTTCTGGGATTAGCATGTGCACACATTAACATACTTACATGCACACAGCGCGTAGTAGGAAAAATCCAACCATCCATCAAAGCTCGTGCACACATTAATATACTTACATGCACACAGCGCGTAGGAGGAAAAAATCAGGACCGTCCAATATCACCATCCAACGGCGTCAAATTGTCCACAGGTTTGTATTTTAAGATGTGTTTTTACCTGAATGTAAATCTACATATATATATATATATATATATATATATATATATATATATATATATATATATATATATATATATATATATATATATATATATATATATATATGCACTCAGGTGCGAATAAGTACCTAGGAAGGAATATACGAACGAATCAGCGCGCGACACGTGTCCAGATCTAATAACTTAAAAAAAAATGCGGTGGCATTTTCTTAAATAATTGAACATCGAAGTGCAAGTAAAATCACTTACAAGTGCACCTACTTTCACCTATACGTGCATGTAATTTTGTCTCGTTAGCATTCACTTCCCGCAAACATTCATGCACTTGGGTGTGCTTATAACTATAGGTGCAACTACTTATAAATATATGTGCACCTACTTTCACCTATAAGTGCATGTAATTTTGCCTTGTTAACATTCATTGATCTGAGTTCAGCGGGTAGTAATATCCCTGAAAACGACCCGCAAACATTCATGCACCTACGTGCAACTACTTGTAACTATGTGTGCAACTACTTGTAATAATATACGTGCAACTACTTAGAACTATAGGTGCAACTACTTATAACTATAGGTGCACTTAGTATTGATACTCAGTGGAAATTTTTACTTGCCCTATAATACATTTTACATGCACTTGTAATACATTTTACTTGCACTTTGATGTTCAATTATTTACAAAATTGCCACCGTGCTTTTAAAAAAAAATCAGTGTTTCTCATCCATTAGATCTGGACACGTGGACGAACAGAATCCATTCCTATTTCACTCCTGGGCGAAGCATTCGCACCTGAGTGCGATTATATATATATATATATATATATATATATATATATATATATATATATATATATATATATATATATATATATGTGTGTGTGTGTGTGTGTGTGTGTGTGTGTGTGTGTGTGTGTGTGTGTGTGTGTGTGTGTGTGTGTGTGTGTGTGTGTATAGAAATGAGGACAATTATATTATAGAGGACTGTGAGGACTGATGTAGTGTGTGCCATTAGGCGGTATGTCGTGTGCATGGCCGAATGTAGTCGTGTGCCACATTTTGTATGTCGCTTGCTAGATTTGTTAATTTATAGAGCATGGGTTCGAAACCTGATGTTTACATTTATTCTTGTGTGCCATTATGTATTAAGTTGTGTGCTTGGTATTAATTTATTGTGTGCCCATTATTTGTCCTCACAGTCCTCTATATATTGTTGTCCTCATTTGAACTCAACCCTATATAGATGTGTATTCAAATGAGGACAAGTATATTATAGAGGACTGTGAGGACAAATGTAGTGTGTGCCATTAGCCGATATGTTGTGTGTATGGCCGAATGTAGTCGTGTGCCACAGTTTGTATGTCGCGTTCTAGATTTATTAATTTATAGAGCCTGGGTTCGAAACCTAATGTTTACATTTATTCTTGTGTGCCATTATGTATTAAGTTGTGTGCCTGGTATTAATTTGTTCTGTGCCCATTATTTGTTCTCACAGTCCTCTATATATTGTTGTCCTCATTTGAACTCAACCCTATATATATATATATATATATATATATATATATATATATATATAGATGTGTATTCAAATGAGGATAAGTATATTATAGAGGACTGTGAGGACAGATGTAGTGTATGCCATTAGCCGGAATGTCGTGTGCATGGCCGAATGTAGTCGTGTGCCACAGTTTGTATGTCGCGTGCTAGATTTGTTAATTTATAGAGGCTGGGTTCGATACCCGATGTTTACATTTATTCTTGTGTGCCACTATGTATTAAGTTGTGTGCCTGGTATTAATTTGTTGTGTGCCCATTATTTGTCCTCACAGTCCTTTATATATTGTTGTCCTCATTTGAACTCAACCCTATATATATATATATGTATATATATATATATATATATATATATATATATATATATATATATATATATATATATAAGAGCGCTCATATGCGGTGGGGTCTTACGGTGCGGCGGTGCGGTCAAATTCCAGAATACACCAACAGTGTTAACAATATGCACCAACAGTGTAATAAAAACACACCCCAATGAAATGTAATAAAACATCACAAAATACACCACAGACTCAAAAAATACACCATATAACTCACCACCCCCAATGGTGTATTTCCGAACAGTGTATGGTGTTTTTACTCACACCTAATGGTGTGTGTTTGGTGATGCAGGGCTCTGTTTACTCTGTTTTGTGTGGTGTATTTCCTAACGTTGATGGTGCATATTTGGTGAACTATTGGTGTTGCCGCATCGTAAGAAATAACCGCACCGTAAGACACTGCTGCACCTGAACCCGCCTCTATATATATATATATATATATATATATATATATATATATATATATATATATATGTATATAGCAGGTCTGTTTCTACTCATACGAAATATTTCAGTAGTGTTCTGCATTGATACGTATTCACACGTACTTGAATGAATATTTAGTAAATTTTGAAAGGATTAAAGAAACAGTAACAATTTTATTATCTAAATATATAATAAAAAATTTTATCCGTGCATTTCACGTGCACTGCACGAATAATTGGACAATTATTTGCTCAAATTCAAGCAATGATAACATCAAAAAAACATAATCGATACAACCAATTTCATCAATTGCACTATAAAATATTCGTTGGTATAACTTATATTTCACATTTAAGGAACAAGGAAAGAGGCCAAGACCCAAGAGTACATAAGAGAATCTTGGAATAGAATTGGAACCCGTGATATTATAGTTGAAGGCGACTGAAATCGAATCAGTTATCCAAACCAAAAATCGAGATATTATAGTAGCTGGAGAAGAGATATTATAATAGCTTTAGTTACGTTTGTGACATTTGCCAAGTTAATGAGAGATTTGATCAGAGTCACCTATATCTCAAGGAGGCTAGCTCTTCAAGGCAACGCCGTCGTGAAGTTGGAGCTTTGCTTGAGCGTGTTATCCATAAAGTGCAAGGTAGCATGACCAATATGACTATTGATTAATGAGAAATTTCATACCATCACCGACACGTAACATGCCATATATTATTTTATAAATATTTAAAAGTAATTAATTTTACCACCAATATATATTATCATTATAAATCAATGTAAATCAATGTGAATCTGTTACAATTTTTTATATTAGGAATATCTTATTCTTATCTTATCTAGACTAGTCAAATATTCTATTAGTTAGGATTATATATTTGTAATATTTCATTGAATCAATTGAGAATACATTCATATGGTATCAGATTGTTAGGCTCCTTATTTTCCTCCTCCTAATTCGATCCTCATCTGATGGCCGTGAATTTCTCCGAACGAACGATGAGCGCTACAGCTGCACCGATCCCCGCACCAAACCACCTCACCTCGGCTCACCATTTCTTGTCGATCAAACTGACGACACGAAACTATCTCATTTGGCATACACAGCTCATCCCTTTCCTCCGGGGCCATGGTCTTCTCGGCTTTGTTGACGGAACCACGCCATGCCCAGCGGAGTTAGTTGTCTCCACTCCAGCCGTTGGCAGTAGCACTTCCGACGAGGCCATGTCCACCACTGCGAATCCAGCCTTCCCCGTATGGGTTCAACAAGATCAATCCATCTTGTCGCTCTTGATCTCCTCCCTCTCCGAGGAGGTCATGTATCTTGCGGTTGGCCGCTCCACCGCAAGGGAGGTGTGGTGCTCCATCGAAACCGCCCTAGGTTCGTCGACGAAGATCCAGTGCCTCAATCTTCTTGGTCAGTTTCAGGCGCTTCGCCAAGGTGATCTGTCGACTGCCGAGTATCTCGGTCGTGCTCAACTGCTTGTCGAAGACCTAGCACAAGCCGGCCAGCCGATGCCCCTTGACGAGCAGAATTTGTACGTCTTCAGGGGGCTCCGGCCGGAATAATATGTCAAAAATATGTCAAAAATAAATAATTACAAGCTAAGCATAATGACATCATGTGTTCAAATCTAATTGAGAGCATGGTTGTATTTATTTATTTTAGACATATTAATTTAATATATTGATATAAATAATTAATTAATTTTAAATTTTTATAAAGTAATATATAAATTGGAATATAAATATAATGATGTGATAATGATGATGTTAGCAACATCTAAGCTAACTATAATTTAACACCGTTAACTATTGTCCTTAATTACACAACTTTATAAAATACAAAAAAAAAAAAAAAAAAAAAAAAAAAAAAAAAAAAAAAAAAAAACTAAATTGGAATGTCATAAGTACTTTGACCAACATTATCCAATCCAGCTCGAGCTTATAGCTTATATAGCTTATTAGTACCGGGATCTCATAAGATACAGATCGACCCAACATTCGGTGAAGATACACAGATGTCAGGAGGAATTGCTCGATGTTGTCTCGCGGAGGAGTGCAAGGCGTGGCGCAAAAACCATCCCCATGTTCGATCACTCTTCTTTCACCATCCTTGGATTTTATCCTCTGTATCCGCTTTCTTCTCAATTTCGTTTTGATTTCCAGGGTTTCGTGGCTAAGCCGGAGACACTTCCCGATGGTACGGTCAACTTGATGGTGTGGCACTGCATTATTCCTGGAAAGGCCGGGGTATGCCTTCGTCTTCTTCGTTATCTACTTTTCAGTTTTTTTAAAGAGAATTTTGCTCCTATATGACTTTATTTCTCTGGAAAGTTTTCTCAGCTTTAGGGGCCGTTTGGTTCACGGAATGTCAGATTACCTTAGGGAATGTTAGATTGCTGGGAATGTTAGATTACTGGGAATGTTAGATTCCTGTGTTTGGTTAAAATTGGGGTATGTAATATAATCATGTTTGGTTTAGGGTTATCTTTTATACACACTATAATATCTTTGACATATTTTCATATATTTTAATAAATTTAAAAATTAAAATAAATAAATAAGATAACGGTATCATATATAATTACATGATTTTAAAATATTAACTCTAAAATTTTGAACTTGAGAAACAAAATTATTTTATATGCTAACATAACATAATAAAAATTAAAAAATATATAATTACAAAAATAATTATATATATATATATATATATATATATATATATATATATATATATATATATAATAAACTAACATAACCAAAGTTATCTTACATTACCTAAGATTTTGAAGGGAATCACATTCCCTTCAAAATCCTATGTGGAGGGAATGTGACATTCCTTGGGAATGTGACATTCCTTGGGAATGTTACATTCCCTAAGATAATATGAACCAAACACTGTTATGTGAACTTTGGAATATCACATTCCCTTGGTTATGTTACTGTTATACGGAGTATTAGAATTAGAATGGACGAATGTGATTTACTTATAATAGCAAGATGAACTCAAAAAATATTGTGAAAGGTTGAGAGATTATGGAATCGAATTTTGTTTTGGCCGAATAATTTTTTGGGTTGTTTCTCGCACTAACTCCGATTTAGTTCTTTTGAATTTGAGTATTAAACTAGGTTTACTCTGTTTTATTACTTTAGTTTAGAGGTCTGTTAAGTGCTTCTTCATCCCTGTTTGATAACATATGTATAGCTAAGAAATTGAGAGGGTAAGTTGTAAAAGGCTTTTCCAATAAGTATGATTTTTGTTCTTTTAATATTTCTCTTGCATTCTTCTACTTTGCTATCCAAAATCTTTTTCCTCAAATTTTTGTCAATAAAGAAGCTAAACTTTTTATATATGCATCTCACTTTTGTTGATTTGTCGTAAGGGGATGCTTGTCTATTCCTCACTCGAAGCCTTCGCCACTTGTTTTGTTAAGTTTGATGGTCTCATCCTAATCTTCGAAGGTCATCACATCCACAACCAATTTGTTGCCAAATGAACACAAATTTAAATTTCCTTGATAAGGATGATATACGAAATTATGTTGCTATAGTGTACTAAGGGTGTAATCTAGCAAAGTTGAGACTAAGACCTGTTAGAGTGAAAATGTGTTGCTAGAGTGCTACTAGGGGCCTAGAGGGTGTAATCAAGCTGAGTTTAGCTCAAGCAGCTAAATTTAGTTCAATCCAAGCCAATTAAAAAGTTATAAGTTTTCAAAGCACAAATGTTTTTGGTACTATTTTCTTCTGTAACTAAGAAAAACAATTTCTTCCTTTCTATTCAAATTCCAAAAGGAATTGAAATTAATTATTCATGTTATAATTAACTTAGGCATTAAGATTCATGGGCCTAACTTAAGCAATTTGGTGCTATAATTATTATCTTTGCCTGATTTTGAGTCATTAAGTGTTTAAGGATTATAGTTACCATTTGAAGCCATTAATAAGAGTTTTAATTATTGTTTTGGCCATTAAGAATTATAACACTATTATTTAAGTTGATTATGTTTTTAATCTATTAATAGTTTTCAGGGCCTTAACAATAATCTTAAGTATTTTTCATGGCAAGCAATGTACATAGTTGATATATTGCCTTTCGAATGGTAATTTGGTTATACCTTAATTTCAGTTTCCTTATGGACTCATTACAGTCTTGATTAATTATTATGTGGTAAATTGAGATTAGTATTTAGCATCCCTTAATTACAGTTTTACATTTAACTGCATTAATTTGCATTATTAATTACTGTTATTAAGTTTAGGGGCTAATCTCATGTATTACTTTTTATAATAATTATTCATTCATGTTAATCTACTATATTTGGTACATTGGTAAGATTACCCATGTCACTTCATTTTTTTCATTACTATTAATAATGGTAATTGAGTGTTACCAATAAATTGTTACATACCATTGGGCGATTCATTAAGGTTACTAGCATCGACGAGTCAACTAAATTCTCCACAAAGATGAGATATTTGAAAGCTTTCTTTGCTATCGATGTTAGTGCTATGGATAGATGCGGTTTGCATCACTAACGTACACAAATCATTAATTGCAGTTTACAGTTTATTGTTATTGGTAACTACTGTTATAGCTGTTATAACTGTTATCTGTTTTGAACTAGTCGCATTTTATCCTTAAGAATATGGAAACATTAAGATATGTATTACCATGTTTGTCATTATTAAAATGTTCATAGTGATTATAATGCTCCTTATTACTATTAATATTTTAATTAATGATAACATTATTTTTATGGTATTAAGTCATGAATTGTTTCCAAATTGATTTATGTGACATTTATTTTTTGGACTTTTATTAAATTTTAAAGTTATATCCGAAAATATTTTAAAGGTTAACAGTTTTAACTATTGTTTTTCATATTTAGTCTCTAAATTAACATAATAATATTATTATGGCTATTTATTGCTTTTTTGGTTTATTTGCAATTTTTGCCATTAATAATACTATTAATTGAATTTTGGAGAGTGATTTTGAATCAATTCAAATTTTGGAAAAACATGTTTTCTAGGCAATTTATCCCATAATTTATTTAGTATTTGAATTATGTTTTTTTTAGATGTTAGTGCCCACATTTAGTTAAGTATGAATAATTGAATGCACATTTAGTGTTTTTCATACTCTTTAAATTGTTTTATGCATTCAATCACATTAAGTGCATAATATTAAGTTTAATTATGCAATTAGAATTTGTGAGTTTTTTTTTATTTACGAATAAAACATATACTATGGCTTGATATTTGTGAATTCAGCCTGTTTCTCACAAATTTGATTTTATGCAATTAAAACATTTTCACGTGGGCTTATAGTTTTTAACCTTTCAAAGTATATATCTATTATATTATTATTCAAATTTTGGATTTCTTTTTGTTAGAAGTCATACTAGTTTTGAATATTAATTGTATACTTGAGGTTATTGCTCATATTAAAATTATTTTCAGTTATACAATTTATTTGGAATTGTTGGAGATTACATTCAAGATGGTGGAGATTACATTCAAGATGGTGGTTTAAAGTGTGTAGAAGGAAGACACTCTTGTCCCACATTGGAAGGATAAGGGACTAACTCCCACCTTTTTAATACCAACCCATTTGGAAGGTTTAAACTATTGTATAGAGAGAAGGAAAGGGAACCCCACACGCGCGCCGCCGCCCGGCTCGGCTCGGACGCGCGTTGCGGTGTGCTGTGGTCGGCGTTTTACTCGGGCTTTATTTTAATTCTGAGTTTTTTCCCTTTTAGAGGCAGATTTCATGTACAAATCTACCATCCACACATTAATTTGTGGTGAAATAAGTCTTCCTATTCTTGTGGGCATCTTCACCACAATTCTTCCTAAAATCGTGGAGCATGAATGGCTGGGAGAGGAGGGGAGGGGCGGGTATTTCCAATACTATAAATACCCTGCTCCTCCTCAGTTCTATTCACTCATCAAATTCTCTTCTTCTCTTCTGCAATCCTGAGCTTCGGTGTTAACTGGTTGAAAGCAACCGGTAAGACTACAACCGTCTCCGGGAAATTTTTGCCTTTATGGTAGTGTCTTGCACACGTCACCGATCCCTTCAGGATTCATCCATTCTCAGCCTATAAAAAACAGTAGCCCCAGGTCTACGACATCTTCTATCCGAATTTTCCCCAACAGTTATAAGCAAAAATATTTTATTTATTTTCGGATATCATGTCGAGCTTCGTACCTAAGCCTGCATCTGACCTTGCCAAGCTTCAACCTCTTGACGGCCTAAACTATCGTCGTTGGGCAGTCAAGATGCTCATACACATCGAATCTGCTGAACTGGAATACGTTCTCACGTATGTTCCTGAACCTGCTCAAGCGAAAACTGCTGACTCTACTAATCCTCAAACAGAGGACGGCTCCACTTCAACCCCTGCATCTGTAACACCTGAACCTGTCACAACTGACAAGTCTCAAAACATCCGGGCTAAGTTCGAGCGGGACAACAAAACGGTTCGCGGTCTTCTGCTGCATCACATGTCTGACAACCTGTTAGACATCTATGCTAAATACAAGTCTGCAAAGGAGATCTGGGACATGCTCAAAAGGAAGTATGGCGCTGATGATGCTGGTCGGAAGAAGTACACGGTTGGGAGGTGGCTCAACTATCGTATGGTGGACACGAAACCAGTGATCGAGCAAGTGCACGAATATGAGAATCTGGTGTCCGACCTTGAAGTTGAACTCATTTCGGTAAGTGAAATGCTACAAACCTATGCCTTACTTGAGAAGTTGCCAGAATCCTAGGGAGAGTTTCATAACAAAGTGAAACATGAGTCCAAGGATTACTCCTGGGAAGAGATGGTCAATCACATCAACATAGAAGACGCCTATCAACAAAGGTCTGTTTCTAATTCTGGTACGTTAAAAGCTAACATGGTTGAATCCAGTGATGTTAAAGGTGACAGGTCCAGAACTGGGAATGGTGGACAAAATAAAGGCTGGAAAAGAGGAGTCAAAGCCAACAATAACAACAAGTTCAAAAACAACCAGAAGAAAGGGAAAGGAGGACCTTGTTACGTCTGTGGGAAGAATGGTCATCGCGCGGCGCAGTGCTATCGCCGATGGGGCGCAAACGACCAAAAGAATGTCCAACAAGAGAACAAGCATCAAGCAAACGTGGTGGAAGAGACTGAAGTCATAGCAGCGGTTGTGACGCTGGAAGCAACTGTGGTGACTGGCACAGAAGAATAGATCATAGACACTGGAGCAACTCGGCACCTCTGTGCGAGTAGGATCATGTTCAAGGAGTTCCGTGCCTTCACTCAAGGACAAGGAGATCAAGTCTATATGGGAAACGACAGTACTGCTGAGGTAAGAGGAGTAGGAACAGTAGAGATAAAACTCAATTCCACAAAGTATCTGTTTCTGTCTAATGTGTTGTATGTCCCCACTCTGCGGAGGAACTTGGTCTCGGGGCCCTTGTTGGTTAGGGCCGGGATCAAACTTGTGTTTGAATCCGAGAGAATGATCATGACCCGTAGAGGGGAGTACCTAGGGAAGACTTATTTACGTGGGGGGCTGTTTGTTTTGCCCCTCATTGCATTCACTTCTGCAAACTTTGAAACTTTCATGAATAATCTTGCCACACGTAATGGCGGTTCTGCGTATATTGCTGTTTCTTTTGATGTATGGCATGCTAGATTAGGACACGTTGGTCTCAAATTCATGAGTAGATTAAAAATTATGAATATGCTCTCAAACGTGCAAGATGATTCGCTCTCTCAATGTGAAGTATGTGCTGAAGCTAAACTAGCTAGAAAACCTTTCATTACTGCAAAGCATCATACAACTTGTGCTCTAGAGTTAATACACTCAGACATAGCTGATTTTAAAAATACTGAGACAAAATGGGGAAAGCGATATTATATATCCTTTATAGATGATTTCACTCGTTTTTCAAAGATATATCTGCTTAGAACTAAAGATGAGGCAGAACAAAAATTTGTAAGCTTTAAAACTGAAGTAGAAAATCAGTTAGAGAAAAAGATAAAAAGACTTAGGTCTGACAGAGGTGGAGAGTATGAGTCTACCTCCCTCAAAACCTTTTGTGAAAAACATGGAATCATCCATGAGGTGACAGCACCCTATACACCACAACAAAATGGTGTGGCTGAAAGGAAAAATAGAACCCTAAAGGAAATGATAAATGCTTTTCTAATAAGCGCAGGCGCTTCTAACTCTATGTAGGGGGAAGCTGCATTAACAGCTAACCACGTCCTCAACAGGATACCTCACAAAGGTTATGAAAAAACTCCATATGAGCTATGAAAAGGTTACGCACCCAATCTAAAATACTTCAAAGTGTGGGGGTGCCTGGCCAAGGTAGGTCTTCCGTACTTCAAGAAACCTAATCTTGGCCCTAAAACCTCATATGCAATATTTGTGGGGTATGCAGAAAATAGCCCTGCTTATAGATTTATGTACCTAGACTGCCACTCTATGTGCGAGGCACGAGAGGCCGAGTTCTTCGAACACATATTCCCACTAAAACGTGGATGAAATACCTATGGAAAAATCTCGTCTTCACTACCTTCAACTTCTGAAACAGAACTTGAGTCAGAAGAACCTAGAAGGAGTAAGAGAAAAAGGACCGAGACAAGTTTTGGGCCTAATTTCATTACGTACATTTCTGAACTAAATGACATTAATGAAATTTCTGATCAGTTTGTGTGTCAGTTAATTCTAGAGGACGAACCAAAATCCTTTGAGGCAGCTATGCGCTCAGTCGATGCGGTCTTCTGGAAAGAAGCAATACAAAGTGAGCTAGATTCAATCAAGTCTAATCACACTTGGGAGGTTGTAGACCTACCGAAGGGAGCCAAACCTATTGGCTGTAAGTGGATCTTCAAAAAGAATATGAGACCCGACGAGTCGATTGAAAGGTTCAAAGCAAGACTTGTGGCTAAGGGATATAAACTGAAGTTTGGTGAAGACTACTTCTGCACCTATTCTCCTGTAACGAAAATAGCCACAATACGCATATTGTTTGCTCTAGCGTCTTCTCACAAGTGGCTAGTCCATCAAATGGATGTAAAAACAGCTTTCCTAAATGGAGACCTGGAAGAAGAAATTTACATGTCTCAACCTCCTGGATGCGCCAACCCCGGGCAAGAAGGGAAGGTATGTAGACTAGTAAAATCCCTATGAGTTAAAACAAGCTCCCAAACAGTGGTACGAGAAGTTCCACAAAACACTGTTAGATCTGGGATACACGGTAAACCGATCAGATGCTTGTTTGTACTCAAAAGAGATGGAGTCTAGCATTGTCTTGATTTGCATTTATGTAGATGATATGCTAATCTTTAGCTCAAATATAAATGCAATAAAAGAGACAAAGAGGTCTCTGTGTGACAAGTTTGATATGAAAGATATGGGCGAAGCTGATGTGATACTTGGAGTGAAAGTCATCAAAGAGAAAGATGGCTACAAGTTATCACAGGGTCACTACACAGAGAAACTGCTAAAGAAGTTTGACAGTTTTGAAGTGAACCCGGCTCAAACTCCATATGACCCAAGTGCAAAACTCTCGAAAAACACAGAGGCAAGTGTGTCTCAAGAGGAATATGCGAAAATAATCGGGAATCTAATGTTCTTAATGAACTATACCAGACCTGATATTGCACTTGCGGTAAATCGACTAAGTCGATACACTCATAATCCCAGCGATATCCATTGGAATGCACTAAAGAGGGTGCTACGCTATCTAAAGGGAACGATGAACTGGGGATTGTACTTTTCTAGCTTCCCAGCGTCCCTAGAGGGGTATTGCGATGCGAATTGGGTGAATGATAGTGATGAGGTGAGCTCCACCAGCGGGTATGTTTTTACCATGGGAGGAGCAGCAGTATCGTGGAAATCCACGAAATAGTCGTGCATAGCCAGATCAACGATGGAAGCTGAATTTATAGCTCTTGATCTAGCAGGGCAAGAGGCTGAGTGGCTTAGAAACCTACTGGCAGACGTGCCGTTGTGGGGGTGTTCTACACCGTCAGTGCCCATACATTGTGACTCGCAAGCTGCGATATGCGTAGCAAAAAATAGTGCCTATAATGGTAAGAGGAGACACATAAGACTCAGACATAAGTCTGTGAGACAACTAATTCTAAGTGGCGTACTTTCACTAGAATATGTGAAATCCGAAAAGAATATTGCAAATCCTCTCACGAAGGGGCTAAACAAAAGAGCCATCCTCGAAACATCGAGGGAGATGGGCTTAATAGCGATACAGTGAGCAAACTTCGAGGTCATATAAACCTGGAAGCTAAACACACCTATTCAGAGATAGGTCTCAGGTCAAAGAGTTGACCTTAC